GCAACGGGGGGCTCCAATACTGCAGATAATCAAAGTACTACTATTAGTGGAACGGTTTCATTGGATAATGAGCTAGAAGAATCTGGCTTTGATCATGCAAAGCTGCAATTCACAATTGAGCCTGAGTTTGATACCTTGATATTAGACTTTGTTTTTGGCTCAGAAGAATATAATGAATATGTAAATTCAGGCTTTAATGATAAACTAAAGATCATGGTTGATGGTACAAATTGTGCCCTCACACCCGATAATCAAGCGTTTAGTATAGATACCGTTAACCGAGCAGGGGAGTTTCCTCCTGCAGTGGGAACAGCTGGCCCTTCTATTAACCCAGAATTGTTTATAAATAATGACCCAGGAGCAAATTCTGGTGAAGTCAGTACCGCAAATTTTACCACTGAGATGGACGGTTTTACTAAAAGAGTTACTTGTCGTGCTTCAGTAACACCAAATCAAGAAGTGAGTGTAATTGTTGGCGTTACCGATGACGGGGATGCAACTCTAGACTCTTGGGCTTTTTTTAGAGCAAAAAGCTTACGTGCAGAGCCAGGTGGTGATTTAGGCGATGCGCCAGACTCTTATCAAACACTTTTATCTTCATCTGGCCCAAGCCATACTATTGTAGAAGGCATACATTTGGGCACTCAGCCTAGCGGTGATATTGACGGCTTTCGTGATGGTTTTGATGATAGTAATGGTACAGCAAGAGATGATGTTGATGACGGTATTGCCACTTTCCCACAGTTAGACGATACCGATACAACCTATGCTATAACAGCCAATGTAACTTCCTTTAATGGTCAAACTGCTTACATTGGGGCTTGGATTGACTTTGATGGTAATGGCTCGTTTGAAGCCGACGAATTTACTAATCAGATTTCAGACGCTGGTGCTGTTGTAAATGAAGCTACAGATGAAATTGCTGCAGGTACCTACGAAGAAGATATCACCATTGCATGGGACTCTATTCCTGCTGGCACTCAAACAGGAGATAGCTTTGCCCGTATTCGTATTTCTAATACACCTTTAACATCTGGCGACTTTGGTGGCAGTTTTAATTCAGGTGAAGTTGAGGATTATGGTTTTGTTATTTCTGGTGCGGCTGATGCCACAGCACCAGTGGTAACTATTGACGATCCAACATTAGTTACTGCAGCCGATGATACTGCTTATGTTATATCAGGTACGTGTACCGTCGGAGATGGTGTAGTTACTGTTGTAGTAGATGATTTTGATGGTACGCCTTCGGGTATCACCAGCTCGCCTATTTGTAGCGCAGAAGGTATTTGGACCGCTACATTTGATGTTTCTAGTATTAATAACGGCTTCGGCCAAGTGATTATTAATGCCTCACAAACAGATAAAAATAGCAATGTAGGCAATGCAACACAAAAAGCAGCCGATAAAGATAGCACATCAGCAATAACTTTGAATAACTTAGGTAAAGCGACAACAGAAAATCAATTCGCATATACAATAAATGGTAGCTGTGTTGACGCTAATACCCCTGTAACAGTGTTAATTTCTGGCTTACCTTCAAAAACTGCGGTATGTGCAGATGGCTCTTGGCAGGCAACTTTTGATGTAAGCCCTATTGCAGATGGTACTGGAGTAATTGTTGCAGATGCCAATGATAGCTCTGGTAGTGCCGTACAAAAAAATGCAGATAAAGATACTACTGGCCCAGCATTAACTTTAAATTCATTAACTGCTGCTAATGCTACGAATCAGGCTAGCTATAACGTAACTGGCATGTGTGAAAGTGCTGGCACAGAAGTATCTGTGTATATACCAGGTGCAACGCCTGAGCGCCAGCGTGTTACTTGTAATGCTGGTATGTGGACGGCTACCACTAATGTCACTGCCATTGCAGATGGCACTGATGTTATTGCCGTATTTGTTGAGCAAACCGATTTAAGTGGCAATAACTCAGCAGTTGATGACGAAGCCAATAAAGATGTGGTATTACCTACAGTTGTTATTAACGCTTTAACAGTAGGTAACAATGCAAATCAAAATAGCTATCCTGTAAACGGCACATGTACCATTGGCGATGGTGATGTAACCGTTGCTGTTGCTGGCGCTACGCCTGCAAGCCAAGCGGTAAGTTGTACTGGGGCAGGTACATGGAGTTCAACATTTAATGTTAGCGCGATTGCAGATGGCACTAACGTAATTGTTGCTGATGCAAACCAAACTGATACCGCGGGTAATACCGGTAATGCTACTCAGCAAAGTGCGAATAAAGATATTGTACCTCCTACCGTGAGTATTAATGCCTTAAACGATGCAAATGCCGCTAACGCTAGTACTTATACTGTAAGTGGTAGTTGCTCTGTTGATGATGGTAATGTCACCGTGTTTATTGCTGGGGCAACACCCGCTAATCAGCCCGTAAGTTGTTCGCCTGGTGGAACTTGGACAGCCACTTTTGATGTAAGTGCGATAGCAGACGGAACTAATGCTATTGTAGTTGATGCAACTCAAACTGATGCTGTTAATAATACAGGAACTGCAACACAGGCGACTGCAGATAAAGATATTATTGCACCGAGTGTTGTGATTAACGCACTCAGCGATGCTAATGCCAGTAATGCTTCGGCGTATGTGATTACGGGTACGTGTACGATAAATGATGGTAACGTAACCACTTCAATAGCTGGTGCAACCCCGAGTAGTCAAGCAGTCGCCTGTTCCGCAGCCGGAACATGGACTGCGACCTTTAATGTTTCGGCAATTGCAGATGGCACCAATGCCATTGTTGCCAATGCAAACCAAACTGATGATTCAGGTAATACGGGTAATGCGGTGCAATTATCAGCAGATAAAGACACGGTTGTTCCGGCAGTGACGGTAGATCCTTTAGTTGAAGTTAATGCCAATAATGTAACTACATATCCGGTCACGGGTACTTGTTCAATAGGAGATAGTAATGTTGTTGTGATGCTAGCGGGAGCAAGCCCTGCTAGTCAAAGTGTAGTGTGTAATCCAGATGGAACGTGGAGCGCAACATTTGATGTCAGTGCAATTGCAGACGGTGAAGACAATATTGTTGTTAATGCGAACCAAACCGATGCATCGGGTAATACAACCACAACTGCTAACCAAGCAAGTGATAAAGATAGTACGCTACCCGTTGTTGTAATTGATACATTAGTCGATGGCAATATTGTTAATAAAGCGAGCTACCCTGTAACCGGTACCTGTACTATAGGGGACGGTAATGTCACGGTCGATCTTGTTGGGGCTTCGCCTAGCAGCCAAGCAGTTACTTGTAATCCTGATGGCACATGGAATGCTACCTTCGATATAAGCGCAATAGCTGATGGCACAGATGTAATTGTTGTTGATGCCAACCAAACTGATACCTTTGGTAATATAGGCAATGCTGCACAACTCACTGCAGATAAAGATGAAGACCAACCTATTGTGTCTATCTTAAATGCGCCTGCCACGGTCAACAATACGAATACCTTTGTACTGACCTTCGAGTTTAGCGAAGACGTTGTAAACTTTGATGTCAGTGATGTTGAATTCACAAACTCTACTTTAGCGAATTTCACAATAATTGATGGCAACACTTATACCGTTGAAGTTACACCTGATGGCGGCGGCGATGTAGCAATTAGTTTAGCGCAAGGTGCAGGCCAAGACTCAACCGGAAACGATACGAACGCGACGTCAGTTGTGGTTATTTTTGACCAAGATAGTGATGGCATTAGTGATGAAGATGAAATTGCCCTTGGCCTTGATCCTACCAGTAACGATAGCGACAAAGATGGTATACCAGATGGTTCTGAAGTTGGTGATGTAAATAATCCTAATGACAGTGATGGCGATGGTGTAATAGATGCAATTGACCCAGATGACGATAACGATGGTATAGCAACAGCAAATGAAGATGCTAACCTCGATGCAGACAATAACCCTGCTACAGGTATAACTGATAGTGATGCTGATGGTATAGCTGATTATTTAGATACTGATTCAGACGGCGATAACATTACCGATGCGAATGAGGCAGTGGCAAGCGGCAATGATACCGACAATGACGGTATTGATGATGCGATTGATGTTGACCAAACCGGCGGTGTTGATACCAATGGTGATGGTGTTGATGACAATGTTGTAGCAGCGAATACCGATGGTGATTTAGCCGCTGATTATCTTGATATTGATAGTGATGGCGATGGCATTCCTGATTTTTGGGAGTCTGGTGCTTTAAATGTTGATTCTGATATGGACGGCATTGACGATGCTTTCGATGTAGATATTACCGGTGGTACAGATGCTAATGGTGATGGTATTGATGACAATTCGTCCCCCGCAAATAGTGATACTGACACTGCTCCAGATTTCCAAGATCTAGACAGTGACAATGACGGTATTTCGGATGCCATTGAGTCGGGTGCTCTCGGAGTAGACACTGACGGCGATGGTATTGACGATTACTTTGACGTTGATGAAACCGGCGGAATTGATGCGAATGGTGATGGTATTGACGATGCAGTAACGCCAATTGATACTGATAACGATGGCATACCAGATTTCAAAGACCCTGATAGTGATAATGATGGCTTACCTGATGTTCTTGAGAATGGTGCCACAGGTGTAGATACCGATGGTGATGGTATCGATGATGCCTTTGATGTCGACCAAACTGGTGGTGTTGATAGCGATGGTGATGGTATGGACGACAATACCAGCCCATACGCACTAGACTCAGATGGTGACGGTACACCTGACCATTTAGATTCCGACAGTGATAATGACGGTATAAACGATGGCGTTGAAGCAGGTTTGAGCGGTAATGATACTGATGGTGATGGTATTGATGACAGCTTAGATGTAGACCAAACCGGCGGCACAGATACTAACCTTGATGGTATAGATGACAACGTTGCACCCGTTGATACAGATATGGACGACAGTCCTGATTATCTCGACCCCGACAGCGATAATGATGGTTTACCAGACGTTTTAGAAGGTAATTCTGATACTAACATGGATGGTACTCCTGACTATTTAGATACTGATAGTGATGGCGACGGCATAGATGATGGTGTTGAGTCTGGTGCAGCAGGTATCGATAGTGATAATGACGGTATAGACGATGCATTTGATGTAGACGAAACCGGTGGCGTTGATGCTAATAATGATGGTGTAGACGATAATATTGCTTTGCCAGATAGCGACGAAGATGGCAGACCTGACTTCCAAGATAGCGATATAGATACAGACGGTGATGGTATTCCTGATGTTGTCGAGGGGAATGGCGATATTGATGGCGATGGTATTCCAAATTATTTAGACACTGACTCTGATGGCGATGGTATCAACGACTCTGATGAGGGAATTGGCGATATCGATGGTGATGGTATCCCTAATTATTTAGATACCGACTCAGATGGCGATGGTATTCATGATGCTTCTGAAGGCAATGTTGACTCAGATGGTGATGGAACACCTGATTACCTGGACCTTGACTCTGATGGTGACGGAATAAGCGATGCAGATGAAGGTAATGGTGATACAGACGGCGATGGAATTCCTAATTATTTAGACGATGACTCTGATGGTGACGGAATAAGCGATGCAGATGAAGGTAATGGTGATACCGATAGTGATGGTGTTCCAGATTACTTAGACAATGACTCTGATGGTGATGGCATTAATGACTCAAACGAGGGCAACGGTGACAGTGACGGTGATGGCATTCCAGATTATTTAGATAGTGATTCTGATAACGATGGTATCAATGATGCTGATGAAGGTAATGGTGATTCCGATGGAGATGGTATTCCTGATTACTTAGATAGTGATTCTGATGGCGACGGCATTAGCGACGCTGATGAAGGGGCTGGAGATAGTGATGGCGATGGAACACCTGACTACTTAGACACTAGTCTAGATGAAGATGGTGACGGTATTCCTGATATTGTTGAAGGTACTGGCGATGACGATATGGATGGTATTCCAAATTATCTAGATACCGACTCTGATAATGATGGCATTGTCGATGGTTTTGAAGCAGGTAATAGTGGAGTCGACACTGATGGCGATGGCATAGATGACAGCTTCGATGTCGACCAAACTGGTGGTGTAGACACTAACGGTGATGGTATTGATGATGACGTATTACCTACAGACTCTGATAATGATGGTGTAGCTGATTATATTGATGTAGATAGCGATAATGACGGTGTTCCCGATGTTGTAGAGTCGGAACTAAATGCAATCGATTCAGACTCAGACGGTATTGCTGATCAATATGATGTAGATGCAACTGGTGGTACTGATTCTGATGGTGATGGTATTGATGACGTCTTTGATGTTGATGTTACAGGCGGTTTTGATGCTGACGGTGATGGTATTGATGATGCCTTACTT